TCTAGAGGGAAGGGGGGTGGGAGGATGGGTTAGCCTGGTGATGGGTATTGAGGAGGGCACGTTCGGCATGGAGCACTGGGTGTTATGCACAAACAATCAATCATGGAACACTACATCTAAAACTAATGATGTAATATGGGATTAACATAACAATAAAAAAATTTTAGAAAAACATCCTCATTTCTCAGGGGCGCCTGGCTGGCTCAGTCAGTAGAACATGCGACTCTTGATCTTGGGGTCGTGAGTTCAAACCCCACTTGGGCATAGAACTTACTTAAAAAAAGAAAATAAAAAAATTCTCATTTCTCTGTAGTAGTTTAGTCTCCAAAAGGAAGGCTCTTTTTATTTGAACTGTTAACCACATAATATTTCATGCATTCAATTCAACGGTTTCCTGCTTGTGTTGTAGCAGTGAACTAGTCACACATTGATGCCTGTCCAGTGACCAGACCACTGTAAGATATGGCTGGGCCTTAACCAGAGACCAAGTTCACGTGTGACCACGCGGATCCCCAGCGTGGGACGACCTCGTTTCTCAGTCTCCCTTGCAGCTAGATGTGGCAACCTACTGGATTCTCACCAGTGAGATGTTGGCAGAAGGGACATGTGTCTTCTGGATCTGCCCTTGAAAGCACTGGGCACACTCTCCTCCATACCCCTTTTTCCCACTGGGAGAGCCCAGCTCTGACCATGCAGAGGAGGACCACATCCTAGGGTAGGACGGAACAACCTGGTGGATCCCCAAAAGCCTGCGTGCAGCCACACTGGCCAGTCAACCTGGTCCACTCACATCAGGACCTGAGATGTCATTTTAAAGCCACTGCATTTTAGGAGGGTCTCCTTATCAGAGCTGTGTAACCTTTGGTCGTAAATACAACAGAACCACAGACAAAATCTCACCCCCCGTTCTCCATCCTAGGACCTTAAGATTCACCTGAAAAATCTGACCAAAAGAGATCCAAAAGATACATTCTAATTGCTTGGCTTTTGATTTCTAGATAATCGGAGCTTGTTGATGAGGCATCACTGAGGGTCCTAAAAAAGCACAGGTCCAAGAGCTGGCCTGTCACCTGCCTCCAATCCTGGGTGTCTTGAGTCAGAGACTATAAGGGAGATGGCGCCACTGGTTTTCAGGGCTGATGCACCCCAAATCGAGGGTGGGAGAAAGACTAATATAATCACATTTTGATACTTTAGTAATTCTGAAAACCTTTGATAAAAGCCTGTGATAAAAGTCCCACGAATTTCTTCTTCCATCTATGTTATTAATAGGAAGGCATGTCATAATCAAGTGATAGCACCGTGATTTTGCAGAGAAAATCTTTTCTGAATACAAAATTCAGAGGTTGGTCATGAAATAGAATATGAGGAAAATAGATTACTTAGTGAGTCTGACAACGATCTTCAACTACATACAGTTTTAGAATTAGAATGAAGATTTTGTTTTCCTGAATACCTTCCTTTATCAGACAATACACTGTCGAGTTCAGGGAAATGAAACTTGACACAAATTTCAAACCAAAAAAAACACCCTCAGCTATTTTACTGCACAAAAAAATTAATTCAAATTCAAATTACATTTTTTAAAAAGGCATGTAGTGTTCTAGCCAATTACAAACCCCTAATATATGCATATGTTGTTAAGTACCAAATACGAATCAACTGTCACATGCCGAGAGAAAGAAGAAACAACTCACTTGTTCAAGCAGCGATGACTGGATGTGTTCTGGAAATCCTCCTCTGTGAGCTGCCAGTTTTTAATCGATCCTTTCACAAATCCTGACACCATTATGAAGCCCAAGACCAGAACGTTGACACAAGTGAATATTTTGTTGACCATGGCCGACTCTTTCACACCGAGAGTTAAAAGTCCTGAAAAAGTGCACAAGCAAGAAAATTTTGCCTGATGGTGTGAACTCTGTGCCAGGTGACTCCTTCCTGGGACACGGACAGGGATGGGACGAGAGGGTGACTTAAGGAGAATCTAAGTGGCACCAAACCTCCTAAGATTTCTGTGAGCCTCTGGGAATGGGGCTGAATTAATCATCTTTCTAGAGGCAGGGATCAAAATAACCAAAGTCCACGGAGTGGTTCACAAAGCTATCAAAGTTGGCCCTGCAGGCCCCCTCTGGAGTTGAGGATGCCAGCCAGAGGGCACCAAAGGCCTGCAGCGATGGGGAACAGCACAGCCCACCACCCTGGAATGCAAGCCCCTCCCAGGGATGAAGAGAAGGCCTCTCTTGGCACCCTCTCCCCTCACTAACATACTTTCCTGGGACTCCCCTGAGGGGGCAGTGGGATTTTTTTTTCTCCAAGGAGGAGACATTTGGCTCAGTTTGTTGGTAGAATGAGGGTTTTTCAGATGAGAAAATTATTCAGATTCACCATGCAACGTTAGCGGTATGAGCAATGACAACTTTCTGTGATTATGGAACCACGAACCATGAGGTTTGTCATCGGACTCAGTGCACGTAAAACAATGTCTAAGCTAGACAAGTTATAGATCATGAACTCACATAAAAAAATTAAAAAGACCCAAGTGATGAAAACACACAGAAACCACATGACAACACTGTCTCTGAGGCTTAGGCCACACGATCACCCGGGGGTAAACGTGCCATTTGGGGACTTCTGTGGCTAAACTCCCGGCTGGGGAAGAAAAGAGACATGGAAAGGTGTCCAGGTAACAGGTGACCACCACTTATGATCTGAGACTGCTGCCCTGCCAGGTGCACATTTTACACACTTAAAATAAAAAATGCATTTCACAATAGATTCAATTCTGAAATGAAGGTGCTAGAAGGGAAGTGAGCAATTAATCGCAGGGAACACCTCCTCGTGCTGTGTGCTCTGTTTCTCTCTGGCGTCCCTCTCTCTCATGTTTATGAAAATCTCCCCAGTGCAAACTTAATTTCTGATACATGTTCCAGCCAGCTGGACCAGAAATACTGCTGAGACTGGCCTGTGCAAGATGATTTCAATTACATGGTGGTAAAATAAGGCATGGTGTTTTAAAAACCCATCCAGATCTTCTAATCTCAAAGGGGAATTTATCTGCATTCAGCTTAATGCTTATACAGTTAAGTGTCACATGGAACAAAACTCCCATCCTAGAGGCCAGGACACAGATAAACGTCACTAAGAAGCAGCTGCCCTCAGCCGTGCTCAAAAACTACCTGGAATTTTAAAATTCTGTACCCGTGACTCTGTCATGAAACATTTTTTTTAAAGATTTTATTCATTTATTTGCCAGAGAGAGAGAGAGAGAGAGCACAAGTAGGGGGAGTAGGAGAGGGAGAAGCAGGCTCCCCAGTGAGCAGGGAGCCTAACGCAGGACTCGATCCCAGGACCCTGGGATCATGATCTGAGCCGAAGGCAGACACTCAACCGACTGAGCCACCCAGGCGCCCTGTGAAACATTTTTAATGGGCGCTCTGATGGCTGTTAGGTGCAAAACCATCCAAGACTTTTCCAGCACCCAGGCACACACACTGGTGCGCCAGATCGACCTCTTCCCCTCTCTATGTTCCCTGCTGAAGAATGCCATTTTCCTTTCCAAATGGTCCTCCACTGAGTCAAGGGAATTTGTATTCCTGGGTCACTTGTACAAAAAGCCTGCCGTACTAACAAAACCCCACTCTACAAACAGCTGCACAAACACCTGAGACTCTTTTTAAATTAAATGACACGCAGCTTTGATAGCTATTCAACGGGCCCACCCTGTGTGTACAAGAAGCCGTTAAGACCAATGAGATGTCTGCATTCGTTACAGAAAGAAACAAAAGGAGGGGAAAGGAGAATGAGGAAAGTTAGAAACAGGCCCCATGGGAACCTGCCCGGCACCTCAGGCCCCTCACTCCAACCGGACATGTCCCGCTGTGTGGCTTTACCTGTTAAGATGAGAATGATGATCACAGCAAATATGTCTGGGTTTTCGGCCAGCACTCCAGGGGCTTTCAGAGCCATGTGCGTCCGTGAGAACTCCCCGATGGGTTTGCCAATCAGCTCGTCAAACGTCGCGCTCCAGGCTCTCGCTACACTTGAAGTACCTGCCATGAAACAGACGCACCAGAGGAAATTGAAGGAAAACAATGAACAGTATTTGTCATCGGGCTCAACTTTGCAGCCTCCGTGCGGGGGTCACGGATGACGCGCTGGGAGTCAGTGGTGGCAGCCAGACCCCAGTCTGTGCTAGCTCAGAAGTGAGGCTCGATTAGTGCCTGCAGTGAAGTGACAAGGCTGGGGAGCCTTCACGGGCCCGGAGAGAAACACTTTCCATCACAACCCAATATGGGCGTGGGTACCATGTTCCAAATATACAACTGAATAATAAACAGTTCACAAACTAGTGCTATTAACCTTTCCACCTGAGAAGCACGCTGGTGATATTTATTCAACTCTACCTATTTTATTTCATTATTAAAGAAATACTGGTGGCAAACCATGAAGTTGATTTCATGATCCACTCATGGGTTGTGGTGGGCAGCTTGAGACGTCTGGCTCAGGAAGCTTCCAAGACCCTCCTGACAGCAAAGCTGAGGGTCCCCACCCACCAGGGAATGCTGTTCTCCCAGCAAGAGGGGACCAAGGACATCCACACGTGCTGACCCTACCGTCAGCAACAGTCACGTGGTCACCCCAGAGCCAGCGCCAGCCAGCTCTGCTCTTCTGTGCCCAAACCTGGGCTCACATCAGGTCCCCAAGTACCTGACCACAGACAGCCCAGCTCTTCTCCTCTCCGTACCACACCCCCCGCCATGAGGATCACAGACACAGCACCCCAAATGCCAACAACTGTTGACTGCATGCTCTCTCTTTTAACCTGAATAAAGTCACTGCTTTTCAAGGAAATGTTACTAAAATTCCAATATTCACATATAGCATTTTCCTTTACTTTCAAAGGGGGCCTTGCTGGTGACTGTGGTCTGGGTCATCCACACAATCTGCCCAGAGGAACTACAGAGATTCAATATTGCTAGTGGGTCTCATACCAAGTATTTGTCCAACAACTCAAAAATTTAACCATGTTTCTTCATCCTCAGCATCCAGGCTATTATGAATTCTGTCCATCAAGGCCACAGTCCAGGGGAGGAAAATGGCCTTCTCCCCTCCCTGACAGAGGCCGGCTCACTTCTGATCAGGCTCTGAAGCCCACCATGAGGGTGAGTGGGGCTGCCTGGCCTTCCTTCCTGGCCTCCCTCACTCCCCGTCTTTGAAACCTAGCTTTAACAAAACTCATGTTTGCTGAGAAAAACTGCCCTTCCCCAAAATCTAAGGCTGAGAATCCCCCACAGTAACACATGCACGAGTCAGTCACACAAGCAAACAGCATTCTGGCAAAGAAGCTTTCATTTGTTGGTCTGGAAGCAGAGGGCGACTCCTGCTCAGGTTTTGTTTTATGCCCAGGCAGATCCTCTGGGAACATAACAGCCCATGTACAACAGCTACATTCCCACTCAGAGACTTGAGCTTACATGAGCATTTGTGGTTATAAGTTTTAGTGTTGTACTGAAAAGAAAAAAAAACATTATTATGAATTTTATTTTCGAACTTAGAAGCATAAGCTATGCTGGCAGTCATTAGGTACCATGGGCTCCGGGAAAGAAAGGGAAGGTGCTGCTCAGAGAGCTTGGCGGCAGCCCTCCGCCAGCTGGCCTGGGCAAGCAGCAGCAGGTGCCCCCACGGCCCTGGGGGCCTGCGTCCCTGCGGGCTGCACACAGTCCCCTATGTCATTCTCAGTATGGGGTACACAGGAGCACACTGCGACCCGCTTACCACATCTTACTGTGTTTTGAAAATATTACAGGGGCGCCTGGGTGGCTCAGTTGGTTAAGCGACTGCCTTCAGCTCAGGTCATGATCCTGGAGTCCCGGGATCGAGTCCCACATCAGGCTCCCTGCTCCGCGGGGAGCCTGCTTCTCCCTCTGACTCTCTCATGCTCTCTCTCTCTCTCTCATTCTCTCTCTTAAATAAATAAATAAAATCTTTAAAAAAAAAAAAGAAAATATTACAAAAAGCTTGCTGAAATATAAATGGAATGTTTAGTGGCTATTTACATTTCTACTTGTAGGAACTGGCCATTCATATCCTTTGGTTATTTTATATTCAGGTGTTTGTCTCTTTTAAGTTGATGTGTTCAACCTCGGTTGTAACCAAAATACAAATAACATCAAAGAAACAATACCTTCTCAACTACCAAACTAAGAAGACTTTATATTTTGAGTGTTCTTGTTTGTTGGTTGTTTGTTTTTAATGCCGGTGCCCAGGGTCAGCAAGTATGTGAGAAAGGGGGCCCGTAGCCATCTGGAGGATCACAGGCAACATGGACCTTAAAAATACGCAAGCCCTGGGCGCCTGGGTGGCTCAGTTGGTTAAGCGACTGCCTTCGGCTCAGGTCATGATCCTGGAGTCCCGGGATCGAGCCCCACGTCAGGCTCCCTGCTCAGCGGGGAGTCTGCTTCTCCCTCTGCTCCTCCCTGCCAGCTTGTGTTCTCTTTCTCTCCCTCTCTCTCTCAAATAAATAAATAAAAATCTTAAAAAACAACAGCAACAGCAACAACACTGAAGTTTACCCCATCAATCAACTCTTTCTTTCACCTGAGCGCTTAGAGGCCATTGTAGGGTTATTAATTGGCCTCATTTCAATAATGTTGTGTTTCGGGATATAAGGAGGCCCAAGGAGAGGGAGAGAGATGGGGGAATGGCTTGTTGGTGGAGTAGTCAGAACACATACAACATTTATCAATTACATTTGCCATCTTGGGTGGCCTTAGGTCACGGTGCCCCAAAGCAATAAGAGTAATAACATCGAAGCTCACTGATCACAAATCACCATAACAAATGTAATAATAGTGAAAGAGTTTGAAATATTACAAGAATTACCAAAATGGGACAGAGAGACGAATACAGAGCACAATAAAACAAGGTATGCCTATAATATATATATATATTTTAGATTTTATTTATTTATTTGAGAGAGAGAGACAGAGATAGTGAGAGAGCACAAGTGGGGAGGAGAGGGAGAAGCAGGCTCCCCACAGAGCAGGGAGCCCAATGCAGGGCTTGATCCCAGGACCCCTGGATCATGACCTGAGCTGAAGGCAGACGCTTAACTGACTGAGCCACCCAGGCGCCCGCAAAAAATATATTTTAACTATAATTGTAGTAAGAAGAAAACGAAGGACATGTGGTCTTCACGGTGTTCTGTAGGCAATAAAATGGAAGCAACACGATCAGTTAGGTGGAATCCTAGCTCTTTGATTAACCATACTCAGGCAGCATGGGTTAAAAGATTGAAAAATAGAGCAAGGGCTTAAAACGTATCCCTCCCCTCATGGCCCCATTCTTGGCCCTGCCTTATTCAACATTTCAAATTGAAATTTTAAATACAAAATGTAAAATATACATTAAAGAGGAAAGAACAGTATAATAAGCCTCCATTTATCCAACACCCAGATTCTAGACATCCTGAAGCTACACTGGCTTCATCTACTTTCCATTTTTCTCTGCTGAAGTCTTTTACAGCAAATTTCAGAAAGTATATTATGTTATCCCTGTGCAATTCACTGGGAATTTCTAAAGACTGAACCTTTTCTTTTGTAACATAATAACACTATCACAGCGAAGGTAACGATTATCCCTTGGTACCTTCTAATATCTCGATTGTCTCAAAATGGCTTTTTATTGTTGGTTTTTCAAACAGGGATCAAAACAAGGTCCTGACATCACATTTGGCTATTATGTCTCTTAGGTCTCTTTTCCTCAAGAGCAGCTCCCCCTGCCACCCCTGCCCCCTTTTTTAGTCAGTTGCTTGTTAAAGAAACTAGGTTAGTTGTCCTGTGGAAGGCCCAGATTCTAGATCTGGCTGTTTTCTTTCTTGTGGTGTCATTTAGCTTATTCATCACATTCCCTGGAACTTCCAGTTAGCTTGATTAGACTCAGGTTAATTTTGTGTTTTTAGGAACAATACTTCATAGGTTGGAAGGTGTTCATCATACGGCATCACAGAGGGGCCTGTTCACCTGCCTCACTTTAGTGTTCCTAACTTAGGTAGGCAGGTTCAGATGGTGATAGCCAGTCCTTTCAATATAAAGTTCCCCATTGATAGGGTGATGATAGCAGTTTTCCTGGATTAGTCCCAGATTATGACCGTTCTGCTGGTGTTCTGACCAGTTTATCATTTGTTCTCAATTTTTCATTTTTAAACAAACTGTTGTTATCAAGACTTGCATTAAAATAAGCCAAGATGGATTTGGTAGACCTCTACTTCGCAGTTCAGCTCCTGCTATACTTTCATCTAGAAGTTCGTGGTACATGCATGCGCTGAACACAATTTTCCCTTTAACAAGTAGTTAATCTGAAAGGTGACGAGCAATAACCATTTCCTGATGTAATCTAACTAGCTGCTCTCTTTCAAGGACAGCACACGGGGTGTTTGTTGATAAAACAAAGTTTGCTCAGATACAATTGGCCAGGGACAGCTAACTCTGTCCAGTTTCAGTTGGAGGTGGGACATTTATTCAATGTTGTTGCCCTCATCGGGCACTTGGTGTACTAGACACTTGTAGAGTGCTATTGCCTGCAAGATGCATGAAGCCACCAGACTGTCAGTGTGGGCATTGGGAAATGTAGGAAATTATGGGATAGGTATACAAAATTGTACGTGGGAAGAAGAGGTTGAGCTGTCCTGCCATGGGGGTGCACAGGAAGTAGGCTGAATGCTCTTACATTATCATTTACTCTACGGTTACATGCCTACAGTTACTTATTTGTTTCTGATAAACATTCTTGCTAGCAAAAATCTAAAAAAGATAGCAGTGTATGTTTAGTGGAAAGTTAAGTAATAAAATTCTTCTTAAGTAAGTCGATGGTGAATGTATAACTTGCCCCAAAATGTTTATCAGTATTCACCACCCACCACAGGGTGCATAGTGACATTACTGACCACGTGAGAACGAGAAGATACAAACCTCACAAAGAAGCTTCACAGATTAGTAGTTATTTTAAGAAGACCATGCCTCACGATGGTGACTTAATGTATCTGCAGTGGCAGAAGGTGCTTCTACCCATCAATCAATGATGACTTTTCATTTAGATCAAAATACAA